CCACCCCACCCACCCCCTGGTATTCGCCTTGCACCTGGCAAGAGTGGTGAAATATGGTTAAATAACGCCTCTCCCTAGGAGCCGCATTGTTGTGGTGAGGGTGACACTCATCCAGCAGTGGAGTGATTGGCACATAGGGTACTGGTCTCGGCATACACGCACCTAGAGTGTTGTTACACTATACTGTTGTTGTATAAATGCACGTAGCATACACAGGTACACGTACGCTGATGTACCACGACAAACTTTATTTAGCTCTATGCTGTAGCTTGTAACTTAGTTCTCTAATATGTTCACACTCATAGTCTGGGGACGGATAATTATCTCAATGACCTATTATTGGTGCAGCACATGCTTGTTATAGATGTGCCTTACAGATGACATAACACCGTACACAGGTAAACACCTACCTACCACACAAACTATATCACTTCTACGGTCTGTGATAGTATTGAAACCCAGATACCTTTCTGGATAAATAAAGGATTGTTATTAAACCAGGATATATCTATACAGTAAGCCTAAAACACACACACACATCTTACAGCCCATACACACATACACGCGTTTACCACACAAACAAAATGACTTTGCAACTTAGTTCTATAGAGTGTTCAACTCAGTATTGAGCCCTCCGTTTGGCGTTTCCGGAGTAATGGTCCCAACTCTCTACTATTAGCACATGCCAGGAAACAAGGGATTACACACACACGTTTAAGCATATACACAGGTACACACGCCTAGTTACCACACAATCTAACCTCTATACAGTACTGTGGTATATAACATAGTACCATTGACAGATACAAACATCTAAAACACACAGTCTAACCTCTGCAGCCTGTACTGTACTGTCGTATTGTATATACTGTGGTACTGGACAGGTACAAACACCTACTTACCTCAATCTAGCTAACCTCTATACTGCGGTACATAACTTGTGTACCATACACAGGTACAAACACCTAGCTACTAATCCATATAGGGTGGTACATAACTTGTGTACCATACACAGGTACAAACACCTATCTACTAATCTATATAGGGTGGTACGTAACTTGTCTACCACACACAGGTACAAACACCTATCTACTAATCTATATAGGGTGGTACATAACTTGTGTACCATACACAGGTACAAACACCTAGCTACTAATCTATATAGGGTGGTACATAACTTGTGTACCATACACAGGTACAAACACCTACCTACTAACCTATATAGGGTGGTACTTAACTTGTCTACCACACACAGGTACAAACACCTCTCTACTAACCTATATAGGGTGGTACATAACTTGTGTACCATACACAGGTACAAACACCTAGCTACTAATCCATATAGGGTGGTACATAACTTGTGTACCATACACAGGTACAAACACCTAGCTACTAATCTATATAGGGTGGTACATAACTTGTGTACCACACACAGGTACAAACACCTAGCTACTAATCTATATAGGGCGGTACATAACTTGTGTACCACACACAGGTACAAACACCTAGCTACTAACCTATATAGGGTGGTACATAACTTGTGTACCATACACAGGTACAAACACCTAGCTACTAATCTATATAGGGTGGTACATAACGTGTGTACCACACACAGGTACAAACACCTAGCTACTAATCTATATAGGGTGGTTCATAACTTGTGTACCATACACAGGTACAAACACCTAGCTATTAATCTATATACGGTGGTACATAACTTGTGTACCATACACAAGTACAAACACCTAGCTACTAACCTATATAGGGTGGTACATAACTTGTGTACCACACACAGGTACAAACACCTAGCTACTAACCTATATAGGGTGGTACATAACTTGTGTACCATACACAGGTACAAACACATCAACTATATACTCCGACGACTATACTGTACTGTGTTATATACAACTTGGCATCATAGCATCGTCACATACACATCATATACAGTCCTGAGGCTATGTTCGTACCACAAAGGCCACACACACAGACAACATGCACACCCTGCAGCACCATACCCACCCCTCCCCAACATACCACATCACTGGCTCCTTTATGTACTCTAAGTATGTAACTTATAGCACGACGTTATGTTCACTTGGACGCGAATACACAACGCTTTGTGTCTCGGTGAGGCTTCCATGTATGAATACAGGTCCAATATTACTGCAACAGAATGCACAAGCCAAGCGCACACACACACAAACACATTGTGGTCTATACACAGGTACACACACACAAACACATTGTGGTCTATACACAGGTACACACAAACACATTGTGGTCTATACACGGTACACACACACATTGTGGTCTATATACAGGTACACACACATTGTGGTCTATACACAGGTACACACACATTGTGGTCTATACACAGGTACACACACACACATTGTGGTCTATACACAGGTACACACACACATTGTGGTCTATACACAGGTACACACACACATTGTGGTCTATACACAGGTACACACACACACAGACACATTGTAGTCTATACACAGGTACACACACACACAGACACATTGTAGTCTATACACAGGTACACACACACATTGTGGTCTATACACAGGTACACACACACATTGTGGTCTATACACAGGTACACACACACACACACATTGTGGTCTATACACAGGTACACACACACAGACACATTGTGGTCTATACACAGGTACACACACAGACACATTGTGGTCTATACACAGGTACACACACATTGTGGTCTATACACAGGTACACACACATTGTGGTCTATACACAGGTACACACACAGACACATTGTGGTCTATACACAGGTACACACATACACATTGTGGTCTATACACAGGTACACACACACACACATTGTAGTCTATACACAGGTACACACACACAGACACATTGTGGTCTATACACAGGTACACACACACACATTGTAGTCTATACACAGGTACACACACAGACACATTGTAGTCTATACACAGGTAGACACACATACACCTATATACCAGCCACAGGTCTGAAGTACAAACACAAATGTGTGAATCATATACACGGAATGGTTGTCCAGTACTTGTAAATCAGGTCTACGCAGCGAAGATACTCACGGGCTAATACGCTAAATAGGTTAAGAACACAAAGACACACACACAGGCAGACCAACAAACACAGAACACTACCAGCACACACACCATCAACACACACTACCACCACCACGATTCCAGCAAACACACCTACACAGACTACCACCACTCAACACACACACAGACACCACCACCACCAACCAACATCAACTCTAACACACACAGAGACCACCACTACCACCAAAATCAACTCCAACACACAGAGACCACCACTACCACCAACCAACATCAACTCTAACACACACACAGGGAGACCACCACCACCAACATCAACTCCAACACACACAGAGACCACTACCACCAACCAACATCAACTCCAACACACACACAGACCACTACCACCAACCAACATCAACTCCAACACACACAGAGACTACCACTACTACCAACCAACATCAACTCTAACACACACAGAGACCACCACTACCACCAACATCAACTCCAACACACACAGAGACCACCACTACCACCAACCAACATCAACTCTAACACACACAGAGACCACCACCACCAACCAACATCAACTCCAACACACACAGACCACCACCACCACCAACCAACATCAACCGTACACACACAGAGACCACCACCACCAACCAACATCAACTCCAACACACACAGAGACCACCACTACCACCAACCAACATCAACTCCAACACACACAGAGACTACCACCAACCAACATCAACTCCAACACACAGAGACCACCACCACTACCACCAACCAACATCAACTCTAACACACACAGAGACCACCACCACCACCAACATCAACTCTAACACACACACAAAGACCACCACCACCACCAACCAACATCAACTCTAACACACACAGAGACCACTACCACCAACCAACATCAACTCTAACACACACAGAGACCACCACCACTACCACCAACCAACATCAACTCTAACACACACAGAGACCACCACCACCACTACCAACCAACATCAACTCCAACACACACAGACCACCACCACCACCAACCAACATCAACTCCAACACACACAGAGACTACCACCAACCAACATCAACTCTAACACACACACAGAGACCAACACCACTACCACCAACCAACATCAACTCTAACACACACAGAGACCACCACCACTACCACCAACCAAGATCAACTCTAACACACAGAGACCACTACCACCAACCAACATCAACTCTAACACACACAGAGACCACCACCACTACCACCAACCAACATCAACTCCAACACACAGAGACCACCACCACCAACCAACATCAACTCTAACATACACACAGAGACCACCACCACCAACCAACATCAACTCTAACACACACAGAGACCACCACTACCACCAACCAACATCAACTCCAACACACACACAGAGACCACCACTACCACCAACCAACATCAACTCCAACACACACACAGAGACCACCACTACCACCAACCAACATCAACTCCAACACACACACAGAGACCACCACTACCACCAACCAACATCAACTCTAACACACACAGAGACCACCACCACTACCACCAACCAACATCAACTCTAACACACACAGAGACCACCGCCACTACCACCAACCAACATCAACTCTAACACACACAGACACCACCACCACTACCACCAACCAACATCAACTCTAACACACACACAGAGACCACCACTACTACCACCAACCAACATCAACTCTAACACACACATTGACCACCACTACCACCACCACCGCCGCCGCACGGAGCCTCTCGCTGCCGACGAAAGGCAAACAACTAAAAAAAATTCGAAGGGGGCCCAACGCAGCGCCGGGCTAAAGTTGACTCTCTTCCACCTCCACGCGGCACCGAACCGGTTAAGCGAGAGCCAGACACACAAGCTCAACTCCACTTACTTGTCCGAGTCCGGTTGTGCCATTTTGCGAAGCTGCACACCACCGCTGTAAAACTAGACTTTCCCGTCTGGAGGGTAAAACCAGCCGCCGCCACTCGGCGAGTTACACCTGGGGTGTAGTCAACCCCCCCACTGTGTGTGTGTGTGCTGCTGTGTGTGTGTGTCTCTCTGGGTCCCTCCCCACACAGGTGTGTCCTTTCTTGCACCAGGTAAGTCTTTCGGGCCGGCCAGTAACTTCCTTTCCCACCCTTTGGCGGCGGCGGCGGCGGCGGCGGCGGCGGCGGCGGGGGGGGGGGGTTGCAGATTTTAGTTGGGAGTTTGTTGACCTTTTTATTTTATTTTCTTGAAAGACAAATGCTACTTTGGTGAGATACAAATTACTTCGAACAACAACAAGAAGCAAAGAAAAGAGAAACCCCTCCCGTGTGTGTGCGTGTCTGATCGGTTTTGTCTTCGGTGGTTTGTTGCGGAGAGAGAGAAAAAAAAGAGGCAAAATAATGAATAAAAAGTTTGGCCAGGTAAGCGAAGTCGTGAAGGTATTCGCTCCTCCCATTGGCTACAGGTGAGCGCATCACACCTGTGTGACGTCACCGGGGCAGAGTGCTGGGCCCGTGATGGCACTTTTGGGGATGGTTTCACGCGGGTTGCAGTGGTTAGTCACGCATGGAGGTTTGGGTTGTAAGGAAGGTGTGATTGTTGGTTTGGCCTTCATGTAGTTTGGGGGGTTGTGGGGGGGGGGATGGTGGAGGGAGCAGCAAGAATGAGTGGTGAGATGGTGAATTTATGTTACTTAACTACATTGTTTTATATTTTTTGACCTACGTGACTTTACCGAATATAACCAAAGAGTATGGATTCTTACAGTCACGAAAGCTTCAAATCTAGAAAAAAATAATCATCATCAAATCGTAGAGGATTACATTCAGTATTACCAGCGTCATCATTACCAGCATCATTAGCATCTTCGGCATCACCAGAATGTCCATAATCATCATCAGCAGCGTCGTCATAATCATAAATAGCAGCAGCAGTAGTATTACCATCAGACACATTCGTCAATACCAATGCCTTAAAAGGAACAAAATAAGATTTAGGTCAAAGTTCGTTCATTGCACGCCATGTCGAGTTTGGTGTAAAAGGTATACAAAATTTAGGGACTACCATTATCATCGTCATCAGTAGTAGTATCGGCAGTAATGTCGGTGTCATGAGTGTCATGAGCAGCAACGTTGGTATCGTTAGCAGTGATTTATCCACAGCTGGATGAAGGCTTCCCCAAATTTGTCGCCATTCTTTACGGTCCTGCAAAGCAAGTTTATTCTTGCTCCTGCTGTACATGAGCTCATCTCATCCACAGCATCAGTAGACTCAATGGCGATAAGCGTCGGCATCATCATCATCATCACTTTGGGGGTCGGTAAAATAATTACTTATGTGGCGAGGCTCCATAGCGGGGTGCAAGAAATTCATCATTGGCAGCTGTTGTGTTAAAATGTAGGCAAACAACATCAGAACGTGGAACTTTCACCGTTTTGTGTAGGGGAAACGGTGTCTGTTGCACAGTTGTGAAGGTTTAAACTTGAGGTCCGTCGCGGTGAACGTGGAATGCCCACCACGTGGAGAGAGTGCTTATCCTTTGCCTTTGCAAGCATGTGAGCAGATGCTGTTATGTAATTACATGTTCCCTGTAAGGCAGTTGTGTTACTACTGTAACGCCAGTGGTGGCGGATTTGTAACGTGAGAGCGTTTGCTGTACATTGAATGGACACTGTCTTCTATTTTACCAGGTGAGTGAGGGAACCGCTTTGGGTATTGACGTTCGCTTTCAAAGAAGACCTGTAACAACGGATGTGTAACAAGAAAAGTTTATAAAACTATAACGGCGAAAACATGACTCTCAATTCATGTGCTTTTTTTACTGTCGACAACAATAAAACAGTAGTGCAACACGCGACCTTCAAATGAGGGCGAATGGGGTTACATAAGGGGTAAGCATTAAATACAAACAACACCCAAAGTTGAGATTTCAAAGTATACGAGTCTCATCAGGGTGCTGCGCTGAGATGTTTGGTCAAATTCCATACGTGAATATTTTGGGTTTTGGAATGTATTTGGAACATGGTGGAGTACACACCCCACATGTACGAGGGGATATGGGTCGAGGTTCTGCACAGATTCATGCAATAATTCATTGTTGCACCGCCACCTCCTGGCCATATTGTGGAATAAATGCCTCCCTGTTGAAACCAGTATTGAGCATTTCTCATCTAATTTGGCAGAGCTGAGCCAGTGATGTAAATTCCACATTCTCACGGCGAGGGCAACTCGACAGTATTGTAAATGTTGTGGGTTTACTCAACAACACACCGATGTGCTGTACTAATAACGAATTGGGATGTTTTGTTTACGTGACAAACTTTACTAATTGGCTATATCGGGTGGTGAGTGGCGCGTTTTTCGACACTTACGCGATCTAACCCAAAAAAACCTCCGTGCACTCGACATGAATTCACATTTTTGTTATGAACAACGCTCATGTGGGATTTTGGCCATGACTATGGCGGAAATGATGCCTCAATTCGTTGAATATAGATTCTCAGGCTCAAAACATCAAATTGCGAGAGTTCAAATGTTCAATTTAGATGTACAGCATCGCACACAATCGGTTAACATGATCCCAATAAGCACTAAAGCAACGAATCCATTATTGGATAGAAACGTGGCCTTAGTGCAACATTCATTATCTGGGAGAGCAGAACGACTCTCCGAGTCGCGACATCTTTTCACAATCTCTTTCTACAGCGAAGAGCGCACTTTGGTAACAAACCATCAACTCTGTGCCAAGTGGCTCGGTGCAATATCCATATGTGGATATATGCCATTCGGTTAAATGGTAACACCCCAATGCTTAACTCTCCTGAAAAAGTCTGGAGACTCGGGGGAGGCCTCGCTGGATAAATAATTATATACGGTACACACTATACACACACAAAATGTAAACAAGACTGCGACTTGCACGAAAACCCATAACCCAAACACCCATGTAGCACCCCCTATGGGTCTTAACGACCCCTTGTCGACAGCAACAGATCTGGGGGGGGGGGGGGGGGGGACGGCAGGAGGCTGCACCACGATGATCTGCAGTAAAATACATTTGTAGAACTTCTTTTGCACCGTACGTAGCCAGCCGTGCTAATCGGAGGTGCGGAGGAAGGACACCAAACTGAACGCAAGTGGATCCCTAAACTATTGGCAAATTATGGACACTCTTCGATTAACGAAAGCGAATCTCCGCGTTGATGACATTTCACACGGCACGAGGTACTCAAACGAGAAGCACCCGGGAGGCAGCGTCAAACATCCGCGACTGGAGATGTGACAAAGAGCTGAAAAGCTCATCAGATTCCTCCCCGAGTCTAAATCAGAGCTGATTTTCAGCAACGAGGTCCAATCACCGTTCAAACGGTAATGTAAAATACTGAAATGTTTATATACTGAATGCTAGTCTCAGGTTTTGCAGTCGCGTTTTAGACCAGCTTACGACTAATTTCAATGTGAACCAGCCAGTTTAACACGTAGGCTTTCGCGACCAATATTATTCATAATAAAGGTTTTTGGGTTAGATCGCGTTATTTATGTGTCGTAACCCTCCACCACCCGACACGGCCAATCAGCAAAAAAAGTGTCACGTTGACAAAAGACAAATAAAGTAGTGACTTTAGCCCACCGGTGTGTTGAGTAAATCCACATTTACAGTTTGAGTACGACGTTTCGCTGGTAAATACATCCAGCATCATCGGGCAATTCACCACAACACAGGCTACTTGTGTTGTGGCCGAAACGTCGTGAGAATTTTATTGTCTTATTTTATTCTCATTCTACGTGACTTTACCGAAAGAACCAAAGAAGAGCAACGAGCATCATTAGTATTTGGACGGGCGACCACCGTGGCTGTCCAGATGGAACTGCGATGTCCATGTGTCGAACTTCTTTCGCACCGTACGTAGCCAACTGTGCCAATCGAAGGTGCGTCCAGGAGATGGCATTGTTGAGCGTTACTCTGCAGGACGCGTGGGTCTCTCTTCCCATGTGCCACACTTGAATGGAACCGGCCCGACCGAAAGTCTCGAGACCGTGGAGGCTGCTTTCACGGGTAAATAATCGCCATCGTTATTTTCATTGGTCATGAAACTGGCCTTTGCTCTTCGCCGTATTTATATCAGCCTTCTCCACAAAGCCAGCACACGTTTTAGGTTGATACAGGAACCGTTGCCACATTCGTTTACTGCCATACAAAAAAGAAACGTTTATTCCGACAGCTATGGAGCATACATACATGCACACGGCAACTTTGATTTCTCCAAAATCAAGCGAAAACGGGGCTCCTTTGTCAAGCCTTTTTATATAAATAAATACAAATAACTGGGAATTTTAGTGACTTAGGCAACGGCGGATTAGCCACACACATGCACCCAAAACAATGTTAAAGCCTCTAGCTGTGCGATGTGATCCCTATGAAAACACTTGTTGTTCTGGTTGGCAGTGGCTATAGTGACAAATCGGTCTCCAAGCACAAACCGTATTTTGAAAACAGCACTGCGGGGAGGTTTGTGCGCTCACGAAGTCAACGCCCGACTGCCTTGGGGTTTTTGTGTGTCTGGAATATCATACTGACGGGGTTCTCCTTTTTTTGTACGTAACCACTTGCACAATTGACATGTGCGTTTGTTAAAATATCCAAATAAAAACAAAGGGAATGAACTATGGCTACTTGTTGTCGCTGTCACGTTGGTAAAATGTGTGCATGGACGCTACCCATGCTGAAACATGGTCTCTGTGCAGCTCCATTGACCGGGATAATTTTAAACTACACTGGTTGATCTTAGACTTTTAAGGAGTGCAGGGATAACACCCCGACGATTTTTGCAATTCAGGCTAGCAAATTTAATTCAATAATCAATTATATTTTAACAGTGGTGAATGCAGTGGCCACGAGTTATGGTAGCGGCCACGAGAAACTACTACATACAGCACCGACAAGTTTGAAAAACATTGACACACACGATGCGAATATTGTGAAGAATGGGTATTAATCGAATAATTGATGCGTCTTTACACCCCTACTTTGTAACCAGTTAAAAGCCCAATCAGACCTGCAGTCTCTTGCAAAAGAGACCTGGCACATTGGAAACGAAGTAAACTTTCCACATGTCATTATCACTGCCTTGAAACGAAATATATAACGGACTGACACGAAAGACAATGGCCCTTCTTCACAGCACCGAGGGCATAGGTCGACTAGGAGTTTGGAGGTCACCACTTCAGTCTGTGGTGCCCAAGGGAGATCTACTTGTGACATGGGCATCGAGCTAACCAACTTCAAAACACTACAAATCCCCTCGCACCCATAACATCACCATTTTAAGTTTTCCGTTTAATTAAAATGTCTTGTTGGTTAACGACTTGTTTTGCGCAAGAGATTACTTTTTCCATGCAAGGACAAGGCAGGCATCTTGCCATCTGGAAACAAAATATATTGCTATTAACAACACTGCCCAGTAAAAGGGACCAGTGCCTCGGATATTAGTCTCCGATTTAACCAAGCAAAGCCTCAGGCGAGTCTCGAGGCGCTTTTTTTCCGATGGGTCGTTCTCGAGACGTTTGGCCATTTTTTTTTATTTTACGTGCGAACGAGGAAACCGCACATCATTGTGAATAAGAGGGGGAATAACTCCCATTGCTGCAAAGATGGGTCACAGCAAGCCACTCGCGAGACAGTCTTGCAAGCTGGGAGTGCCAAACACACAATCATCTCCCGTGATCCACCAACCCCCGCCTCCTGAATGCTAGACGGCTGCGCAGCACTGGCAATGGTACATTCCAAATTACTGTACAGTATTAGTATTTGTTCCCAGGCGAGTGTGCCTACACAGACAAGGGGTTATTTACTTTGAAACGTTGCACTGCTGAATAGGGGTGTGGCGTCTTTCAAAGGAGCAAAAAAGGTTTTGTGGTTCTAAATGTACACTGTATGTATACATGAATGCTTGTGCACACAAGCACACACACACATACAGAACCTTCCTTATACAGACGGCAGGAGAAAGTGCTATTAGCGAGCACATATTAAGGCCGGCTTTGCACACAAGGTGGTGGTGCCAGCAGCAGACAAACCCCACTCTCCCGAGTGCTGCTGACCAATTTGTATGGGGTACCCATTCGGGGCTGAGTTAACCTAGTTGAGGCCAGGCGCATTAAAAGAGAAATATGCAATCCTGCACGCAGTATCTTTATGGTAGACATGGTTCTCGTCGTGGGAACGTGGAATTTCCACTCCTTGGCTTTGGGCAGCCAACGGATATAGGAGCAGTGCTCCATTGCGAATGTGAGCAAGGAGATGTCCAGTTAAGCAGAAGGCTGCGAGTACAAATCCTGGTCTGAGATTGACCCATCATCCGTACGGGATTAATAAAATCTGTAGCACGTTGTGGAAAGCGAAGCGGCGATGAAGACCTGCCTCTGATGTAGGAATGTGGAATTTACACCACTGGTTCAGGGCTGTGGTGGCGATATGTTATCTCCCTCCCCTGGTGTGCAGGAGGTCTTCGATTTGATTTCGACCGCGACGCTTGTATATTTGGAGTTTTCATGTTCTCCCTGGAGTCATGTGGCTTCATCTCCGGGTTTTCCCTCCACATTTATAAACATGCATTTAGAATATTTGGCTGCTATACGTTTCCACACAAGCCACTTCTTTGTGCTATCATTTGTGGCCAGGTCGCTTCTGAAAAAGAGCTTCATAGCCGTGAGCTTTACCTGTTAAAATACAAGGTTTAGTTTATAGTTTAGTTTAAGTACCACCACACGCTCGTATAAGCAGGAAACCACTCTGACGTGTTTTAAACGATAAACAGGGGGTGGGTGTTCGGAGGCCGGGCAGCTGAGGGGGTCAGAATGGCTGTGTTGGAGACGCCGAACCAGCATCCCAGAAGAGTTGGGATTTCACCCGCCCGCGATTAGGCCGGGTTCTCAAGTGTAGCACATTCTTGGTCTCAGCCCAGTCACCAACCATTCCACGCAAAAAAACCGCGTAATATTTGGTTTCACTTAACTCTGCACCTTCAAGATCTGAAAATGAAATGTTTTATTACCTTGCAACACTCTTTGCAGGGAATATAAAAGGCATGCATGCCCCCTAGTGTGGATGAGAGGCTGCTGACGAATCTGAGGAAGTAGTTCTGTTATCTTCCGGGGTCATTCTCTGAAACAAGGTGGTCGACTGCTCGTTGCTAGAACACCGTAACGCCACGATTCATCATCATCATCAGCCATGCTTAATCCACTGCTGGACGAAGGCCTCTTTCCAGGCTGTTGCCACCTCTCAGTATCTTGCGCTAATAACACATTTACCTAGCACTTTGCACACGAACTGAGCTCATCGGTCCATCTCCACGGTCGGAATTAGTTCCCCTCGGATGCGTTCTATTCCTCGGTGCCGGTGTTGCAGCCGGAATATATTTGTGAGGTATCACGTGGAAAGGACGACGAACGGCTGGAAGTGGGGTGGGGGGCAAGCTTGGTGTTAACTAGCTCGTCTGGTATGCAGGTGGTCGTGGGTTCGATCCCAACCCCCTGACGATGCCTGTATATTTGGAGGTTGCACGTCTCTCTCTCCCCGTGGTCACGTGGAAACTTTCTTCCAGGTGCTCCGGTTTTTTTCCGCTCTACATTTAGAATGTGCGTTTAGAGTCCTTGGCTGCTTTAAATGTTCACATGACAAGCCACTTCGTTGAGCTATCATTTGTGGCCAGGTCGCTTCTGAAAAAGAGCCACATAACTTAGTGGGCCTTACCTGATGAAATAAAAAGTTCATAGAGTGTTTTATAGTTTGGCCGCTAGCGCTGCTTGGGCAGCGCACGCACGGCCGGCAGCAACTTCTTCTCGATAGAGCAAACCGCGCTGAGGAGGTCGCTCTGCTCGGCCCCCAGCAGCGATGCCGTCACTTCCAGCACAAAGCGGAAGCTGTGGGGAAGCCTGAGGGGTCACGCACGGGGAGGGGGGGGGGGGATGGGTGGAGGCGACAGCCAGAAGTAAGCATCGTGCATCAAAAACTTCAGGCGTTCCAAACCAAGTGCCAAAGCAATGTCCTCAATGCAAATGTGCTGCTGATGGGGGAAATCATAACCGGTGCCCCCCCCCCCCCTTACATAAGCGAAGGCGACATCGTCTGACAGCAATATGGGTCTGGGTTTGAGTCCCGATTTGGGGGGCCTTTCTGTTTCGAGTTTGTATGTTCTCCCCATGTCCTCCACGAGTTTCCTCCGGGTTCTCTGGTTCGCCCGAATAACTTAAAAACCCACACACAATGCAACTGGCATTGGCAGAAACATTCCAATGCTGAACAATTACCCACAAATGTCTCAACTGGGATTACATAACGCTAAATTGTCACCCCCAAATATGAAAGCTTGGCAGAATCCTCCTGAGTCTTGAGTCTCTGAGGCTTTCCTGGGTAAGCAAGCGCTATAATAATGGTTGGGGCACATCCTACACATGGACGGTACACGGGCATGAGCCTGCAAGCACTACGCAGGCTGGGCAAACACTGCAGAAGACGTCACTAAACAAGCTGCGTCGATGCTTCTCACGGAGGTGCTGGTATTAATTCAGGTTGGAATGTAATGCGAGTGGCAGGCGACGTGGTTGTGGGGTGGATGGTGCACTCGGGGTCTATCCTATTATCCGTGTTTACTCTCGCAAAATACTCCTTTTTATACGGGCAGCGAAGCGCAGATAAACGCGGATGATCGGCCAAATTTGCCGCCACTGTCAAATCACTCGGATGACAGCAGAAACCTTCCCGCTCATAACGTGATTTGGCACGGATCAATCGGCGGCACGGATAAGGATGGATAATCGTCCAACTGTCAGGACGAGCTTTGCTCTGCCAGCAATACCGGCGCTGGGAATTAGCTGAGAAGGGGTCAAATGTGAAGTGATGTCCACGGGCGAGTGGGTTGTTGCCACAGCATGGGCGGCACCTCCATCCTACAGGTGTGGGTGGGTGGGTGGGAGGGAGGGAGGCAGAACTGGCATTTACTGCATAGATGGGTTAGGAAATGTTTTCGAATTTGGAAAATATGGACCTCGACACCGGTACACAATAGCCTACTCTTCAGAGTGACATGACAGGATCTTTAATATCAACTTTGAAGCAGGCGGCACGCAGAATATTACTGTTAATACGCCCGCAGTAATAACCAGGGCGACTAACAGGATGCCAACCGCGAACCTCTGCAACAAGCAGCGAACGCGCTACTGCTGGGCCATGTCATCCCCCATGAGACCAGGGATCGGCAACCAAAATAACAGGAGCCATTTTATTCGAATACGGTAAAAAAAAAACCTCAATGTCAAGAGCCGCAATGCATGTGAATACGAGGCGGTGGTCGTTAAAAGATAATGTCACGAAGCAGTCCTTCAAGAGCTGCATGCGGCTCCGGAGCTGCAAGTTGCCAACCCCTGCCCATGACAATAAGCTGTGGGCTATTTCTCCTCCTGGGCCTGGCAAGCTGGGGGTCCATGGCTCCACAGCGCCACTTCCAGTGTCCGACGTTTCCCCCACGTACCCATGTTTCCCAGGCTGGCGGGGCGTGCTCCAGTAGCGTCCGCTGCTCCCAACGCGTTTCGCGAGGCGTTTGTCCATCACGCCAACGACGGCGTGGCCGTAAAAACGCGACGCCGAGTCAGCGCCAGGCCCCGGCGCCTTCTGCTGCTCCACGCCGGCCAGTGAGCGCCGCACCTGCTGCTCCAAGTCCAGCGCCAACTCTGTGCCGGGGTGGGTGGGGCGGGTCGGTCATCCCACAATGCACCGTGCATCGTCGAGTGCCCTGACCGCAGCACTCCTGGGCCGGGAGTTGTCACCCAGTTCACATCATTGGTGAGTTACATCTAAACCTGTTCTGGGCACCATTTTCACCAATGTGCCTTGACCGGGAAGGAGAAGCATGGTCAAACGACTTCCCATGACAGACATGGCGTCGATAGGCCCTCGTCGAGCAGTGGATTGACACAGGACTGTAAATGGTTACTGTTATTATCTGGCCAGGTGGCTCCGTGGTAGAGCGAGTGGCCCGCAATCGGAAGGTTGCGAGTTCAGATCCTGTTTCGGGGTTGACGCAGCCCATTGTCCCTGCTAGAGCCGATAAAAAGAATACAACTCTGTTGCGGGGAAGAAGTCAATGGTAGTTGTCTTCTGGATAAACTCGCCCCTGCCACAGTAATATGGAATATCTACCATTGGCTCAGGAGTATGGTGATGACTTGCTTTTGCTGCTACCAAGTGACTCACTCTGCCTTTTGGCGCACATGCAGTGGTAGCTGCGGGAGGTGTAATAGAACGTACGGCTTTGCACCCAGGACCGCCTAAAAAACGACAACACACGGACACATTAACCCTGACGCAGACGTCCCTCGACTTGCAATGCAATTACAGGCAACAGCAAAATGAGGCTGAGTCTATTTTTCAAGGGAGAACTGCGAAGCGAATAAAATACGGAACACATTTGGATAAACAAAAATACCGAAGGCCGGTTTGCAACGCTGAGCAGTATAGGAAAGCCTTCGATTCATAACAACCTTTAACAAGTCTGCAGGATGAAATATATAAACAGCGGTTAACATGACCAAAGCTGGCCAATTGTAAAATTAGGCAAGGGGCATGGTCCAACAGCACTTACATTTGTACCGTCTAGCAACAAGTCCACCTGTCTGCATCACGAGATGCCATCGCACAAGCGTTTCACAGGTACAGGTTTGACTGTGTTTAGTCTCACGCCGCACCCAGGCTGGAAGGAAGGCATGTAAAGATGCACGGAAGTAGAGAAACAGCACCCTTCCGGATGCATAGAAACATAGCAGCAGCAGTAGAAGGAGCACGCTTCCGGACGCAGAGAAGCAGAGAAGCAGCACGCTTCCGGATGCAGAGAAGCAGAGGAGAAGCGCGCTTCTTTCTGGATGCAGAGAAGCAGAGGGGCAAGCATGCCAACGAGGCAGCGTGGGGCCGCGGGTGCGGGTGCCCGTCGCGGCGTCACGTGACCTCTCACCGGGAGCCGACGCGGGCCTCGGCGTCGCGCTCTCGGCTGGCGAGAGCTGTCGCCGCACGGCACCAATCGTCGAAGCAAAACCACGGCTCTGTGCAGCAACGACAGAAGCAAGCCTTGGGCTCGCCGATTACGCTCGACTCTCACGCACGCAATGACTTAAGTGAATCATATTGCAGGTTTTATTTGTCAGCAGCAAGAGCCCGATGAGCTGCTCGGCTCTATTTCAAGGGTGTCCTGCGACTGTACAGATGTTGTACAGTACAGATCTTTGTTACAATCACAGCGACAATGGTGACAATACAATAGAGAACCAGTGTTGTAAATGTAAAGAAAACAAAACATTTTATGGACGAAAAATAAAGGAAAACATTTCATTTAACAAAACAAACACAATCAATAACCGATAACTCTAAGTGTGAGCCACACAGACTTGGGCTCACGCTTCTCTGCGGATTTATTATAACTGCATCTGTTAAGGAACATGAGTTCTAGGAGCAAACGGAGGTTTCTCACGGCCGGCAACGATTGAATTCCCAAATATATTGCGATGTCATTCCAAAACGAGGGAGCAGCCACATTTTTCACAGACGATATGCAAATTATATCAGAATTATTAAAAACAATGTCCACGACCAACACGGCATGGGAAAGCTTTCATCCAGCCATGGATTTACAAGGGGGCTGTATAAAAATGTTGGATGCATGCCCTGAACCCATCACCCCAGGATCTTCCACGTACCTCCTGGCTTGGCGACGAGCTTTCTCACGGCTCTCGATATTTTCCTGGTTGAAAGCACAAAGTGTCAGCCCCCACACAAAAACACCAGAGCGCGAGGGTGACGGTTAGTGTTGGGCATTCGGCCTAGGGTCACTGTTAATGTTTCATGTCAGGGGTAGGGTTAGTGCAAGTGTCAGTTTACACATTCACGGTTAGGACGAGCGGAGATGGTTGCGTGGCTCGGGGGTTAGAACACAGACCTGGTAGGCACTGATGAGATCATGGGTTATAATCTGGGAAGCCACTATAACCAAAGTAGTCAGTTAATGGCCTTCGCCCGGTCAGCAATGGACTGCACAATAAAGACGATGAAGATTTTTTTCCCTTCTTCAAATTTCCAGATCCGAGAATCAAAGCGATGTTTGGCTCGTCAGCCCAAGGAGTTGCACGTGGAAAAAAGTGCAGTGCACCTAGCATGGATACGACGTGACTTGAAGGGTTCTCAGAGGTAGTTCTGCGACATTAGCTTCCACGAGCTGCTCTTGTAACACACAGGGGTGATACATCACGGCTCTACGAGAATTCTGAATGTGTACTACATCTCATGACAGTGGCAATAGCACAGGTGAGAAATTGTGAAACTAAGATTTTTTATTTTACCAGGTCAAGCCCAGAGCTATTAGTTATTTTTCAGAAGCGACCTGGCCACAAATGACAGCTCAACAAAATGCCTTAAGTGGAAATTTATAGCAGCCAAATACCCTAAACGCATGTTTATAAATGCGTTGGGGAAAAACCAGAGGAACCGGAGAAAAATCCACGAGACCACAAAGAGAACACACAAACTCAAAATATAAAGGCATCGTCAGGGTCGGGATCGAACTCGCAACCGCCTGCATACCTGGCGAGGAAGATAACATCTTGTTATCGGGGGCGTGAGCTGAAGGAACTAAAAAAAACATTTGAAAAAGAGCCATGTTTAACAGATGCTAGTGCCGATGTATAATTGCGACAGGACGCACCACTCCGTGCAGTCATCGAGCACCAACAGCAGCTTGAGCGCCACCAGGATACTCGCCACCGCCACCAGCTCCAGCCGCAGCGTCTCCCAGCGTCGTGCCGTGGGGTCAAAGGTCAGCCGAGAGGGAATGAGCAACTTTGGCAAGGCCATCACCCAGCAGCACCAGGGCAGCAGCGAGTCTGCAGGGGAGCACAGCAGGGGTAAGCGGACACAAGCCACCGCCACCAAAAACATTCGTGCCACCACATTTTTTTAAAAACTGTTTAATGTACATTCCATCATCAGCCAGCATGGGCTTGTGGGAATGGATAATATCAGCAACACTGGTTCAATACAAGCAATACTTCTGAAATTGTGTATCTAAACATCTAGCCATTCACCAACCCAGCCAGAGTTTCCTTGTGTTGAACCACTGCTGCTGAAAATGCACTCTGAGAAGGCAGTGTGGCTGAAGGATTGTATGCGCAAGGATCACGAGGGTATGTGTGGTGCACACATGCGTATGCTGTGCTCAAGGGTTACGTTTGACCACGTGGTAGGCATGCTACAATTGACTTCTCTACCTCCGTCAGCAATTCTATGAATTGTCACGATTCGGGATTGTGAATCAATTATAAAAATAAAATAATGCATGGATCGTTTTGATGTTTGTTTTATAAAGATGATTTCGCTTCATTAGCTAAAGTGTAACACTGACATATGCTTTTCATACCATTTGCATAAATGGTCAATAGGAGATTCTCAAACGCACGATTAAATCTATGTATCATGAGTTTAGGAATACATTTTTAACAAATTAGATTCGAGAACACGCAAAGGTGTAGTTGCTCACAAACAGCAGGAAGGCACAACTCCCCCCTCATGCACTGCAGGCGCGTCACATGACCACCACATCGCATGTACGATGCACTCAGCCTTGTCTCCGCCACCAGCGCGAAGGAGCATGATCGTACGGAAGTATTGTTGTTTAGGCCACAAACTGCAAAACAGTTTAAAATGTAGTTGTCCCATCGGTCAGTTGAGAAATAACGAGCCTGGTCTACGATCGTCTGAGGCGGTGCAGGAAGCTCACCGTGAGCACGTGTGGGTGCCCGAACACTCATTGTCATGGTCATTGTTGTGATTATTATGGTAGTGGTGGTACCGGGCAGGCCGAGGTGGTGCAGGAAGCTCGCTGCGAGCGCATGTGGGTGTATGACCACTGTGGTTGTTGCGGTTGGTGTTGTGGTTGGTGTTGTGATTGTTATGGTCGTGGTACCGGGAAGGCAGAGGCGATGCAGGAAGCTCGCTACGAGCGCATGTGGGTGCACGATGCTTCGCTCCGTCACCTCGGGGAAGCACGGCAGTTTAAGGAACTCGGCGAGGAGCTGAGACTCGCGCAGGACTAGATGGTAGCGGGGCAACCACTATTCACAGGGACAGGTGGACATGAGGACCAGGGGACAGGGTGACATGGGAACAGGGAATACATGGAAAGGGGATAGTTAAGTAGGTAATAAGGTAGTTATGTGAGTTGGGAGCCAGGCAGTGTTGAGATGTATGTTAGGCAGTGGGTATGGTGGTGGTGGTACCGGGTAGGTAAACAGCCACCATTTAAGCCACGAGGGAACACAATGACACACACACAATCTTTGACAAGGGATACCTGAGCTGTAAAGAATATACACAAACTCGAGGCGAGATGAAGTGTTTACGTCCCGAATGCTGACGTAAGGCCAATGAATCACGCGTTAAGAACCCAACGCCTACATTGTGCCGAGTCTATTTGCGCTGTTGCTGCTGCTGTCAGCTTCATGCCTCACAACTCTCAACGACAGTGCAGGCTTTTCCCTCCAAACACAATCGCGCCAAAACACCATTGTGAGCCTGCTGCGCGTGCGACCACCAAAGCACGCACCCAACGTGTCCAAACTTTTGTCGCCCACCCCACCAACGCAAACAGCCCCGTCGCCATGACCACCGCGGCCAGAGAGGGTCAGCTCGCCGCGTGGCGCAGACTCGGCAACACGAAGGCTGCGGTTGCTGGCACCTCACTGCCGCCTAGGGGTCGCAACGCGAAACGTCGCAACAGCGCCGCCGAATCCAGCGCTGGGCTAGGTGCCGCGCCGCCCGCAGCCTCGGCACTCATGCGAGCAGAAAATCACCCGAGCGAGTTTTTGTTTGTAGTGGGAATCATCGATTTTAAATCGCGGCTCGATGCCCCGTTAAGTGCCGAATGCTTTTACATCTGGCGATGGGAAAGAGGCGACCGCACGCTCGCCTCCCCAGGGAGGGTTTCGCCATGCCAAGTCTTACAGTCGGTCTGAAGAAACGAGCATCGTGACCATAGATCTTCATCTCCTCGGGAAAGCTCTCAAAGGCGCTGGTGTAGGGCACAGTGCCACACCTCACGAGCCTGCGCACACACACGAAGACAAAGATCCCTCGTAGAGCCTAACGGGCTGTTGGGGCAAGTGCTGCTCGCGAGCACCTATGAAGGCAGGCACAGAGGGTAGGTGGTCAACACCACGCCGGGCTGAATTTTAAGGGCCTGCGGTAGGATTGTGACAGCTGCTGTGGAACTTTAAGTGGACTTGGGTGAGGATTGTGTGGCTCCAGAATATACATTATACATTTTTATTTTATTTTATCAGGTAAGGCCCACTGAGCTATATAGCTCTTTTTCAGAAGTGAACGGCCCACAAATGATAGCTCAACGAAGTGGCTTGTCACGTGGAAATGTATAGCAGCCAAATACTCTGAACGCATGTTTCTCAATGTGGAGGGAAAAATCGGAGGACTTGGAGACAATCCAAGCGACCACAGGGAGAACATGCAAACTCCAAATATACAGGCATTGTCAGGGTCGGGATCGAACCCACAACCGCCTGTATACCAGGCAAGGTAGTTAACATCTCGCCACCGTGGCGCTTTGAGGGCCTTGAATCGATTATAAAGTTGGGGAGATGCCTGTGTGAGATTCTGGCCCCCCGGTGAGGTCATCCCCGGTCACGTGACGCACACCTCAGCAGGTCAAGCAGGGTGGGCGGCTGGCGCAGCCACATCAGGGCCAGGTGGCAGAAGGCGAGCGAGAGGGAGAGGTGAAGGTCTTCCACGCGGCCGCTGTGGGACAGCAGCTTCCCATCCACCGAGCCCATCTTAGGCTCGCACTCATCACCTGCGCAGCGTCGTTCATGGCACAATTCGGCAGACGATAGCGTCAAGCCCTCATGTAATAGCAGCCGTGCGAACAGGATATATACACATGCGTCAATGAGGGTTTATCACGGTTCAGTTATCCCAGCCGGTTAGCTCAAAACACCTCAGGCTGACTCCACGACCTCCTGTCAGCGAAGCCTTTGACACTTCACGTGGACTTAAAGTACACCTAGCCTGGCACAAGGGCTTTGGTGACGTCACTGCCACTTCGTGGCGAATGGCAGCTGCTGCTGTCGTTTCTGGATTGCGGTTCACTCGGTGTATTTTTTTTATAAATACAATCTTCACGAGCTCGAGACCAAATTACCAAGAGCCGACAACAAAATCACCTTGAATCTCGTCAGAACTGCTACGGCATAGAATATGCCTCTGTGTGGTGTCATACCCACCTATGATGTCACAGTATACGCCACTAAGTGATACATACTGGCTTTACGGGCAATTTTCATGGTGTTATCTTTGAGGGATGGAAAGGCTGCTTTTGTAATTCACATTTCCATTAAAAAATATGTAAATACACGAACATATAGCAACATAAGATATGTATTAATCAATAGCATCTTCTTTGGTTCTTTCGGTAAAATCACGTAGAATGAGAATAAAATAATAAATTGATAAAATAAAATAACACAATAAAATTCTCACGACGTTTCGGCCACAACACAAGCGGCCTTCATCCAGCGCTGTCCTCCAGACAGTCTCGTCCCTTAACCTGATGAAGGCCGCTTGTGTTGTGGCCAAAACGTCGTGAGAATTTTATTGTGTTATTTTATTTTATCAATTTATTATTTTATTCTCATTCTACGTGAGTTTACCGAAAGAACCAAAGAAGATGAATCCTTGCAGTCACGAAAGCTTTAAATCGAAATCAATAGCTTATTGATAGAATTAAACAAATACTGTTTATTTTGTCATCTTATATTGAAGTATTTTCATTTCAAACCCGGGAAATGCAGTGTCCATACATATACGCTGTAAATTACGTAAGTTCTATGCTAATCCCTTTCTTTCGTACGGCATTTGAGAAGCAACTTGCAAAGTGTTTTAGTAATCCAATCGATGGCATCAGGAGTTGTTTAATGTATACGCATTGGTGCCTCCAGTGTAAGCGTAGTATAATGCAGTGGTCAGCTATGTGATTAACAGATCGCACTTCACCACATTCACAATCTGGGCCCATTCTTGCATGTTATATTTGCGAGGAAACATCCACACATGCAGTGTGTGCTATGAATGTGATTAAGCGGAAACCCGTGGCCGTCTATGCAGGCTGAAGCCGGGCAATTAAATATTCGCTAATGTTACATTGAGGACTAATGAGGCAACAAAAACCATTAAAAAACCGGGATGGTCAAAATGAGACGAATAGGGAACGATTCTCCAACGGAATTGTGATAACCAATCGTGACGATCTATCTAGTCGCGCGGGGGTGAAATCGTCACGTGCCTGCCCAACAGACGTGCGTGTATGCGAGCCGTTTGCTTTTTTTGGGCCGCATTCTTTTTCCTTTATGTCTCTCCAGCGCTGGCGAGGGAAAGCCTCCCCAGCGCCGGCGCGTTGGCAAAAGACTCACCAGAGGAGATGCCGCTGCCGACATCACCACTTGTGGCGTCGCTCTGGGACGACCAGGCGGAGAAGGATTTCAGGCTCGTCGTCTCCAGGTCCATGGGGTTCACGTTCAGTTCACTGCCGCTATCCAACGGGCTCTGAGGCACGCGGACACAGAGACGCGCGAGACGTAATCTAGTGAAACTAAGCAATGGCTCAATGGCCCGGTGGACGATTGGTGTGGTTATGTTGGAGACACTAAGGCCAAATCCACAGACTTAACTACAGTAAAACCTTGGATTGCGAGTAACTTGGTCTGCGAGTGTTTTGCAAGGCGAGCAAAATTTTTAAATAAATATTAATTTGATAAACGAGCGAGGGCCTTGCAATACGAGTAGTATGTATACGTTCTAGATTTGAAGCTTTCGTGACTGCAAGGATCCATACTCTTTGGTTCTATTCGGTAAAGTCACATAGGTAAAAAATAAAACCAACAAGATCATCACAAGTTCGACCTCCCTAATCGAACCAACTAAACGTCCCTCCCTAAAACCTTCTGCTGCAAGACCCCCTAGATTCTATGGTCTTCCCAAGATTCAAAAAGAAGGCACCCCACTACGACCCATCATATCCACGATCAACTCCCCTACCTATAGACTAGCCCATTTTCTGTCAGATACCTTGCTGCCTTTCACTGGCAAGGCCGCCTCAGCAGTACTTAACTCAGCCCAATTGGTCTCTATGGTCAAAGACTTTGTACTGTCCCCTGACGATATCCTTGTCAGCTTCGATGTGGTCTCTCTGTTCACCATGGTCCCAGTACCTGATACCATAGATATAATTAAAAATGTGGTCCTAAAGTGAACTAGACCCCGATACACCTGCGCTGGTTAGGGACTGCCTCACCAATACCTACTTTACTTGGAATGGCACCTTCTACAAACAAAATGAGGGTACCCCCATGGGTTCCCCCTTGTCACCAGTGATAGCCAATATTTTCATGGAGAAATTTGAATCAGACGCCATCCAGACTTCCACCCTCAGACCTTCCCTGTGGAAGAGATATGTAGACGACACTTTCGTCATTTTGCCACATGGCCTCCCAGCTTTGAACCTTTTCCTAGACCACATTAATTCCAGACACCCCACGATCAAATTCACCATGGAAGTGGAGAAAGATGGCAAGCTGCCATTCTTGGATGTTCTGTTTGAGAGGAGACCTGATGGCTCATTGGGACATTCTGTCTACAGGAAACCCACCCACACAGATTCCTACTTGAAACCTGATTCCCACCACCACCCGACTCAAAATAATTATCTCATCAAAACGTTATACCACAGGGCTCATTGCATTTCGGACCAACACCACCTGACCAGTGAATTAAAACATGTACATCTGGCCCTCAAAAGGAATGGATACTCTGACCGTACCATCCGCCAAGCTGTTTCTCCCTCCATACAGAAACAACCACTTAATACTCCCATCAAAACCATCACACTACCATATATAGCAGGCGTTACTAAAAAGATCTACAAAATTCTAAACAAACACAAGATCCTGGTCCGGTTCAATACAGTACACAAAATCTGTGACCTGATCCCTTCCCTGAAGGATGTCATTCCTGACTTACAGTACCCCGGGGTTTACAAATTGATCTCCACCTGTGGTGACTGCTATATCGGGGAGACGAAACGACATGTCTCTGACCGAATTCACGAGCACAAAGCAGATTTGAAACACGGCAGAACGAATTCTTCTGCCGGAGCTGATCACTGTTACAACGCTGTGGGTGATCACGATATAGTTTTCTCCGATACCAAGGTCCTCTGCAAACCCACGGGTTTTTATCAGAGATTTGTCCACGAGGCAATTCAGATTTACAAATACAGACACAATTTCAACCAAGAAGATGGTTTCAAATTAAGCAACCATTGGAAAGATGTTCTAAATCGAACCAAACATTAAACTAATTTGCAATGGTACAGTATGTTTATTCAAGTAATGGCATCCCAAACTCTCACGGTGCTGTAATGTCATTTTATGCTAATTCCAAGATTTCACAGTAGTAAATTTTATGCTAATTCCTTTGTCAAGGCGTTTTCTGTTTACCCCCTCACAGCTTAAAGGAGGCGACCTGCGCTTGGCTTTCTTCACTCCAACGCTGTCCTCTGGACAGTTTGGTCCCTTCACCTGATGAAGGCCACTTGTGTTGTGGCCGAAACGTCGTGATTTTTTGTTGTTTTATTTTTTACCTACGTGACTTTACCAAATAGTCCGCCGAGCGTCACGTGATCACAACTGATATACGAGTGCTTAGATATACGAGTGCTTTGGATTACAAGCACGTTTTTGGAACGAACTGTGCTCGCAATCCAAAGTTTTACTCTATTTGTTTCAAGACTCAGTTCTCAGGCTTAGAAATGATCAGAATTGTGTTTGCATCTTGAGTTTAAACCTTGTGTTTTTTTGTGTCCTGCATGCTTAGGTCCTGAGTTTCAGGTTTAGCCCTCAAGGTTTATGCTTCGCCTTCCATTGTAGGCTACGGCCTTCAGTCTAAAGCCCTGTTTGAGGTTATGGCCTCGCCTCTTAGGCCTGGCCTAATGCCGGGGCATTGCCGATCATACCGTCATTGGGGACTTAGCAGGGGCGTCACTCTCCCTGGGTTCCACATATGCCCTGGCCGTGTACTGCAGGTAGCGCCTCCACATGTGCATCAGAAGATCATCCTGCAACCACAGCAACCGTAATTCACTATAGGTCTTGGCCAGGCTTGGTGCATTCGCGATAGTCATACAAATTGTTGGTGCAAATGCTGTTAGAGAGCCCCTATGAAGGTGCGCACAGCACACAAGGGGGTGGGTGGCCAGCACCAGACCCAGCAACCTTTTTCTCCCAACTGGTGAGATTTACACGTCATACCAGGTAATCATTTGAGGCTCAATCGGCATAGGACTAGTTTAGACAATCATCACTGATGTTGGCCTTGAGCAGGAATCAAGCTCGGGTCGCCAGGATTGTAGAACAGCATGCTAACCGCTACACTACTACTTTACACACATAATCATACAGACATATGGTATGGGAGGTAACCAGAGAACTCGAAAGAAACGCATGGAGAAAAGGGGGAGAACGAATACAAACACTCCACACAGAAAGGTGCCAGAGAAGGGAATCGAACCCAGACCATTGTCACTGTAAAGCACAAGTGTTACCACTGCATCACCAAGCTGCCTTACCTTGAGGCGAGCATTAACGCCCAAAGCTTGCAGGGCATCTGCCTGCATGCACAGCACCATCTGAAAGCCTTCGCACGTGTACCACCTGTAGCTGCGCCCTGCACACAAAGCGGAGGCAGTGCTGTGGCTTGCACGTGGTGTGGAGCTTGAGCTAGCTCAATCCCCCCCCCCCCCCCAAAGGGGACACAATAAACACTGTGACAGCAGCAGCAGTAGTGCCAAGGTGTGCCTACACTCGTACCATATTTGTCCTTTCCCCTGATGCCCTTGCTGATGGTGATGACTTTGGCCGAGGCGTCAAAGTAGGCACTGGGGTCATCGCATTCCAGCACCTTCTGCTCACAGTCACAAACATCCATGTACTCAACAACTCACAGCCACAATAAAAATAAAACAGTATCATGATGATTGCTTGTGTTGCAATCGAAACGTGGTGAGAATTTAATAGTTGTATTTTTATTATTTTATTATTTCCCTTCTACGTGACTTTACTCGAAAGAACCAAGAATATGAGTCCCTGGAGTCACGAAAGCTTTAAATCGAAATTTCAAGGCCACAACCTACATTGAAACTGTATGTAAATATATCGTCTTATTGTTTGGAATGTTACGTTGAGTGTTAATGCGATGGCGCTTTGAGTGGCAGATTGTGCCAGAAAGGTGCAACATTTGTAAACAAAAATGAAATTGACTTGCTCATAACTTGTGATCACGTGATCGTACGTGTCAAGAAGGTTGCGTGATTACTGTATTCACACTTCCCAAGATTGGATGAACCGTACTCTTTGGTTCTATTCGGTAAAGTCACGTAAAAGTACAAAACAAAAAAGAAAAAATTCACAACGTTTCGGCCACAACACAAATGGCCTTCATCAGGTGAAGGGACCAGACTGTCTCGAGGACAGCGCTGGAGTGAAACACAGCCAAGCTCAGACCGCGACCTTTAAGCTTGTGTGAGAGGAATTAAGGTGCCTTGACAAAGGAATTAGCATAAAAATTAGCATTTAATTGGCGGACTTAGCATGATGAACGGTGTAGAGGGGGTGAACATGTGCAGACCGGTGAGGGGGGGAGGGGGAGTTTACATATTGATGGTGTGAAAAGGGAATTTAAGCAGCTGCGAAAGTTTGGGATACCACTACTTGAAAAAATATACTGTACCAATGAAAATTAGTTTAATGTTTGGTTCGATTTAGAACATCTTTCCAATGGTTGCTTAATTTGAAACCATCTTCTCGGTTGAAATTGTGTCTGTGTTTGTAAATCTAAATTGCCTCGTGAACAAATCTCTGATAAAAACCCGTGGGTTTGCAAAGAACCTTGGTATCGGAGAAAATTATTTTTTGTTGTTTTATACTTTTACGTGACTTTACCGAATAGAACCAAAGAGTATGGATCCTTGCAGTCACGAAAGCTTCAAATCTAAAATTGGATGAACTGTCAGGTATTCCTAGTCATGATTCAATTCTGCTTTCTTTTGCATTTCGTTTTTTATTCCGACAGTTGAATTAGAGGAATTGCAACGGAGCCAGCTCGGCCCTCTTCGTCACCTGGCCACCTCAACAGCCGTGTAATTGCTGTATGTAATGGTCACAGCTGTACTTACATGTGTAGTTATGACACGGGTCGGAAACCTGCGGCACCGGAGACGCACGTGGATTTTTAAGCACTGCTTCGTGACGTGCCGTTAGTTATTCAGGACCACTGTCTCGTATTCATATGCATTGCGGCTCTTGAAATATTGAGTTTCTTACCGAATACTCTTCTTGTTATTTTGGTTGCTGACCCCTGAGCTGTGACCACAGGTGTGCACAGCAATTGCAGCTATCATCTCTAATTCTGATCACGGGTGTAGGGAGCCTACCCATGCATTTAAGATAATTTAGATTATTTTGCTGCTATAAATGTCCAAATCATAAGCCACTTTGTTCAGCTATCATTTGTGTGAAAAATAAGTTAATTCCTCAGTCGTCTTTGCTTCATAGGATGGGGATGGTTCAGTTTTATTTTTATGTTTTTGGGTGATTTGTTTACCTTTCTTATACTTTGCACTATCATGATTTGGTATTACAGGTAGTCCTCTACTTATGATGGAGATGCGTTACGACGACCCCATCGTAAGTCGAAGATGGCCTAGCCTATCCAGGAGTCTTAAAGAATGGTGATAATTTAGCAAAACAGAGCAATTTACAGTACCGTACTGTATCAACTATACACCGTATGTATTTATTAATTGCAATACTGTATTGCACAGTAAAATGTGAAGTAAAAAAACATGCTACAGTACACGCGCTAACACTGAGACAACTTCACTCCGTCGACCGCTGGCGAGAGTGAGGCATCACCACACAAGGCGGTGAGATGCGTACATCCTGGCAGCGTCCCAACGTCCAGTATCGTACCTCGTACGCTGCTGCGTTTGCCTGCCGCGCGAAACGTAAAATATTTTACAATTTTGTCGCTGTCGCCATCGTAAGGTCGAAATATCGTAAGTCGGGGACTATCTGTATTTGATGTTGTAACGTTCTTACCCGCACCTACTGGACATCTGTGAAAAAGAGCTTTACAGCTCGTCGGATTCCTCCTGCAGCATAAATATTCTATGTAGCCAAGCGAGCACAGGCGAGGAGACGCGGCGCTGTTGGCCCCGCTTACATCGGTCACGTTGTTGCACGATTTGCAGTAGAAGCTCCTCTCGTCCGTGATGCCCCAGTTCACGTCCTGACACACCACGCAGCACTCCGTGTACGAATTCTGCAGCCACAAACACGGTGGGGGGGGGGGGGGTCAGAGAGTTGAAGCCGACTCGGCACATTGAATATTAACGATTTGCCCCCTGAGTTTAGACTTCTGGCCCCTGAGTTTATAATTCTGCCCCCCCGAGTTCAGAATTCTGCCTCCCTCCCTCTATCTATCCTGTCTACTCCCTATCCCCATGGGACCTTAAGCCAATACGTTTCAAAGACAATGCATATATTATCAGGGCATGTTTGTTTGCATATTTTGCCACAGTTATGTGTGGTTAATGCAGACTTGATGCCTTGCAAAAGGTATCAATTTGGTGTTTGAACATCTGAACACCTGTTTTATTGCCAAAAAGGGAAAAACAAAACCTATTCCTATTTTTCATACCTATCCATGACTTAACTCTCGAATTTTAAAAGTTATATAGCTTATAAATAGGCCGTATTTTCCCTCGTACGTCCAATTTTTGTTTACATCTTTAGATGCGGTTGCCTTTACGATTCAGATAAATCCATATTATGTTGCATTCATGTCAACCCATACGGTTTGCCCCGTATTCTTGTACAGGGGAATTGAGTTTTCAGGTCCATACGGCGTACAGCCGTTTCAATACGCGCAACATTTGTGTTTGTATATTTGTTTGTGTTTCTCCCTTTGTGATGGGACTTTGTAGGATGAACGTTGAGATTTATAAGGGGCACGGGGTGACCAATAAGGTCTGAATTGGTCTGCAATAAGGTATTCACTGATAATAATTAGGGGTTGACAGGTATGCATTTGCTGCGCTTGAAAACAATTACACACGGTTGCCGGGACAAAAACGGGCACAATATTCTTGGTTCTTTCGGTAAAGTCACGTAGAAGGGAAACAATAAAATAATAACATAATGCTTGCTGTGATGTTCACACCTGATGATGATTGCTTGTGTTGCAGTCGAAACGTCGTGAGAATTTTATTGCTTTATATTTTTATTATTGTATTGTTTCCCTTCTACGTGGTGACTTTACCGAAAGAACCAAGAATATGAATCCCTGCAGTCACGAAAGCTTTAAATAAAAAAAAATAAACGGGGGCACAATTCAAGTTATATAGAAAACAATTAACACGTGTCTTGAATTGAGGAAGGTCATACAAACTTTGGAAAAGAGACTGAACGGAATTCTGCAGATCGGCAGCGCGAGAGAATCTGAAAGCAGTGGTGCTAGTTGAGCGGATGACCCGAGTGGTGGTGGTTGCGTTGTTGTGACCTGCAGCCTCACGCGAGTAACCTGGTGCGGTGTGTTAACAATATCACTGGGAAGACAAAGGCGGTCGGGCAAGAGGGGCTGACCACACACCTCGTGCGCCTTGCCGGCCTTCATTAGGTGCTCGCTAACAGCACTTGCCCCAACAGTCTGTTAGAGGCTATCCGGGGGGAACTTTGTATATATTTTTTTGTTTTGCAGTGTGGTGGGTGATGGTTGAACAACACAGTATGGATGGAGACCAAAAGAGTGTCTAAACTCTACTAAACTTTTTTTTTACAATTTTTTTTTACCAGATAAAAGCCCCACTGAAGCTATACGACAGCTCAACGAAGCGGCTTATCAAGTTGACATTTACAGCAGACGAATAACTCTCGGACGCACGAGAGTATTCGGCTGATCCACGCGACCACGGAGGGTAGAGGCACGGCATACCCCAAGTACACAGCAGGCGTCAGGTTCGAACCCCACGGCCTCCTCGCATACCAAGCGAGGCAAGTTAACATCTGGTTCTACCGGGTCGCCCACGTGTGTGGAGGGATCAGCGAGGGGGAAACGCTCGGTAGTTCGCCGCGGGGTTGTCGCTGTTGCTACCGCTGTTATTGTCGAGATCGCCGCCAATGTGTGCCCTCCCCTCCCGGAGGCCCGGAATCTCACTCACCGCGTCCTCGTGCATGACTCCCCGCTCTGCTCCACGTGCGCTCTCAGTACAGCAGTGAACAATAAGAAAAGCGGACTCAACCCCCGCCGCCAAAAACAAAATCACCGGATCAGTAAGAGGTCTGCCAATGTGTGTGTGTCAAGTTGAGCGCCGGCAGGCTACAACGCAGCAAGTTGGCACGCTATGAGAGGTGGGTACGCCAACCCGTGCCGGGTCTGTCCCGTGAGCCTTCCACACTTCACGTGATAGCCTCAAGGTGCACCTAGCCTGGCACAAAGGGGGGGGAGGGTGTTTGCCCGTCACTTCGCGGCGAATGGCGGCTTGATTGGGTTGCTGCCCCAAAAGGGGGCGCGTCCTTGCCCAACTACGGTCGTGTGGATCGTCAAATCGACGAAAAATTTGGATCGATTCCACGCAGTCGGTCCGACAGCAAGCTTCAAAGTCGATCGTAATTTGCGGGTTAATCGCTGCGTCGATGCAATTGCCAATCGATCCATGGATCGAGTAATCCCCATTGGTTAGTGTTATCCCCCCCTTCCTTTTTTGATTGGCTAACTGAATTAATTGTATCGCAGCGCTGCGATTGGCTGGGGGAGACGATGCACCCCAGCTGTGAGTTCTCGAAAACCGCTCTGACCGGCCGTGGTTAAGTGATTAAGTGAAACAATTTAAATTGGCAATTCCAATTCGACACCCCTTCTCCACCCTGCACGAGACAATTATCGAATCACGCCCTGAAAGCCGGCGTAGGGAGGCCCTCCATCGGCACTGGGCCGATCAAGGGTTGTAAATCAATAACATCGACCAGCATGTATCATCGATGCCGTTTATTTGGAGACTAATACAGTATGTAAATTGAAAAATTTAATCGAAATTCCGATATCTTTTTAATCACACTATTGTCATTGATTTGAGGTAGTGGTGAAAAATCTCATGGGATTTTTGTAAAATATACAGTATAAAGTTTAGTTTTTTATGAACATTTTCTTTATTTTTTTCTTCTATCTTCGTGACTTTACTGAAAGACCTAAAGAGTATATTAACATAAGTTACAATACACGTTTTAAGAGTAATGCTTCTTCCCTCACAGGGTCTGTGTGCACCTGCTGGTACAAATTACTTGACAAATGTAAACGCGCAGCCCTGCAATTGCTCGCTCACGCGACCGCTGGCGAAAAGTTCCTCCACTCGGAGGGAGCTCAGAACGAAGGCCTCTCTCTTAATTATGTTTTAGCCAAATCTTCCACACCCGCCAGAGACGTCTTGCAAAATTACAACAACCAGCTCCACGTGTTATCATTCCACGAGTAGTCGCCCAACGGGTCACGTGAGTCCTCTCAGCCAATCAGCCGCGCGATAGTTGGCACATGGCGGACCCCAGGGGGCGGCCATGTTAAGTTATTCTTTTGGGTGTTTCGGTAAAATCACGTAGATAGGTTCAAAGAAAATAACAAAAACAAACTATGACGTTTCGATCGCAACACAAGCGTTCGTCATCAGGAAGAGGGGGTTAGCTATAAACAGTTTACCTTTAGAAGCTAACCCCCTCTTCCTGATGACGAGCGCTTGTGTTGCGATCGAAACGTAGTGTTATTTTCTTTGAACCTATCTACGTGACTTTACCGAAAGACCCAAAGAACATGAATTTCTGCAGTCACAAAAAGCTTTAAGGCACAACCACAGCAAGAAAAAAACTGCCGAAGTAGCAGTGTTTTCTTGCTGTGGTTGTCCCACCTGATGACGATTGCTTGTGTTTGGATCGAAACGTCGTGCTCTATTGTTTTTTTACCTACGTGACTTTACCGAAAGAATCAAAGAGTATAGGCGTTAAGATGTAAAATACCAAACAGAAACCTATTCAAAGGAACCGTGTCTGCATTAACCACATATACTTATGGTGAACACGCAAACAAAAAAATGCTCTAGTAGTAAAATGTATTGTCTTTGAAACTGATTGGTCCACACCAGAGACAGCATTATTTCGTCTTAAGCAACGTTATTAGACCAGAGCATGCCAAAAGGAGAACAGCTGTCAGATACAAACCCCTTTAATTGAGGTTTTTTTTAGTCAACCCCCTTTACTGATTGGCTGAGTGATAAGTCACGTGGACTTGCGAGGGAGGAGTCCGGCCCGCGTGACGCCTTTGGTCCGTTTTGCCCACAAAAGGAAATGAGGGCGTGGACCCAAGAGAAGGGGGGGAGGGGAGTATAACCCGCTGTGATTGGCTCTCACTCAATTACGTCACCCCCCCTACTTGCTCCATATAAGGCGACGGGAAAGGGCGTGGCTTATTGGGTGCGAAGGGGCGGGGTCGGGGGTTGTGGTGACGTCACGGCACTGGTGAAGACCGCGCGGGAAGGCCTCCTCCTCCTCGTCCCCCTTCCGAGTGTTGTTAAAGTCGCACAGGGCCGCTCCTCTCTCGCCTCGCCGCTTAGCTCGAAGGGCGCTCGCACAAGCCGCCTCACGGTGCAGCAGGGGACCACTCGCCGCCCGCACGCGTAAGAGAGGTCCGGCTTTGTTTGATTTCTCGCGTCGCGTTGTGAGGGAGAGTTGCGGGGCGGGTGGGGGGGGCGGCAGTAATGGCTGCGGCGATGGTGGGCGCGGGTTCCTGCTTCGCTTCGTTTCGCCCTCTCGTCGCGGTTGTCGTCGTCGCTTTTGAGTCGCTTTGTTGATTCGCACGCGGACTCGTTGGCGGAGGGCGGGTTGTGGACACGCGTGGCCCGCGCGCCTCCCTACGTTTTAAGACAAAAAATAACAAAAGCGGCGCTGGGAATCGATTCGTAAGGAATCGAAGCCTCCCGTATTAACGGATATTCGGTTCCTTCGCCGTTGATTCCTTTCGTTTAGATATCACCGCGGATCGATTCTAGTGTGTTTTCCCTCTCCGATTCGATTCTCTTGCTGGTTTATTCCGGTCCGTGGCGGTTTGTCGCAAATCGATTTCAAGAGAATCGATTCCTCGCGGCGTGGTTTGGGTTACTCGGTGATCGGCAACATCGCTCCGAGACCGTGGTGAGATTTCTCCCCCTTCCTGCGACGGGGCCCCGGATATTCGCCGTGTACACCTTGCTATAATCGTGGATATGGTAACCCCTGCAATGTTGAGGCGGTGGGGGGGGGGCACCTTAACGGCATTTAAAGTTGTACCCCGTGTGTTGCTGTGTACAAGCCGACTTGTCCGCTCGATTAGAGTAAAGTAACCAATTGTTACGGCCATCTGGTTACTCGTGGCAGATTCCGCGTGAGCTTGGGGCATCTCCACCGAAGCCCATTACGGTTCAGTATTAATCGGGCCCCGGTAACTTTTGCTCTGGGATCCTCGGGCGATAACTATTGAACCCGAATGATAACAAGCCTCTGGCCATTTTTCGATGGGTTTCGTTTTGAGGACTGTTAGTAAAACCTGATGTGGCAATAATGATATTCCGGGACGTTGAGCAATACTTAACCACGAGGGGCGATTGTTTATGATGTAGTCCGCGTGTTTTGCGAGGAGTTTATTACGCGCAAAATACTTTATTCTGAACGCCGACCGTGTACCTTTTTAAATAAACAAGCTCTGTTGTGACAACGAGTTCCTAACTGCTCGGAATACAGAGCCGCTGGGGCCAACATACAGAACGACTTGTGACATCCTCGAAACGGCGAAGTTCGGGTCAACATATTTTGTCAACTCCCGAGTAAAAGTAAGGGAGTTGCGTGTCTTTACTTTAAGTGAAATCTTGCTATTGGTCTGGGCCACTAGCAAGTCGATGATAACCACTAACTAACATTGCGTACACTTTGGTTCTTTCGGTAACATTACATAGTGATAAAATGAGTAATTGAAGACGTTAATTATGTATACCTGTCAACCCCTTATCAGTGCCTACCTCATTACAGACCAATAAACACCTTATTGGTCACCGTGACCTTATACATCTCAACGGTCATCCTACAAAGTCCCATCACAAGGGAAAAACACAAACAAATAACCACAAAAAAATTGCCCTATTGAAACGGCTGTACGCCGTATGGAACTGAGAACTACATTTCCCCGAACAAGAATATGGGGTGAACCGGATGGTTGACCGCTATGATGATGTCAGCTCGCACACAGGAACCGGCTTAAGTTCATGGAGGGTAATGACGCCACTCGCGCCATGCTGCGTGGGTGAGGTCACGCCGGCCATGTTGCATGGGGGTTGACTTTCTGGCAGGTGATTGGCTAATGCAGTGGGCGTGCTGATGTAATTCCTAGTAATAGATGAGAGCGTACGTTACAATTGCCCTGCGTGTGATCAGTTCTCCGGTGAGGACATCGACCAACAATTGCAGCCAGCCGGACTTTTTTGCGAAATCGTAAGTGACATTTTCCGTGGTGTGGCCCAGGTTCGATTGGGTATGGCTGTGTGGCAGAGCCGGTTCGGGAGACCTTCAATGGCCACGGAAGAGAGACGTGGGCAAGGCCCAATTACTCTTTAACTAGACCGTCGGGTTACCTTGGCATTTGTTTTGGCCATACAGGTAAAGTCACTTATAATCCATGCACTGTCGTTCCTTGTATAGTGTGGTCATCACCGTAGTTAACTAGGCACAAAATAATTAGTTTAGCAGCTGAAAACCCGATTCACAACAATGTATTCGAGTCTAGGAATTATTATTTCGTTTAAACTATATGTGGTGTTTATTTTTACAGGTTGTGTTTAACCTCATCCAGTAGTGCGGCATCGCGAAAACCCGTAAAGACGATCCAATATGAGCAAAGCGTTAGGATGACGTTATGGTGTTAGGGATTTTCCATATTTAAAACTAGTAACATTGATCAAAGGTCTTCCCAAAACACGGTGCAAAAAAAACCAAATCAAGTTGTAAAACGAAAGAGCCTTTTTCAGTCAAGGCGATGTCGTAACAGACGGTGCTTTTTCTGTGGGAATCAGAAATGTTTACGTCCTGTGTCGTGCGACATTTTTGCTATGTGCTTGATATGTGATGGTATTGCTAGTCGGAATACTTGCAATGACAAACGCATGTTGGATAGCGTTCCAGAATGCGTGCAAATGCATGCTGTTTGCTGGTTTAAAAGTGTTGTCTTTTCAATCTTATTTCAGTTCTTTAAGCGACACAATCCATTTGGAATGCTTGGAGTAGTGCCAACATATGTCAGAATGATCACGGAATTAGGATTCCGAACTGCTTCTGAAATCCCCTCTATCCCAAGTACTAGATAGTAAACTTTTCCACGTATGGTTGGAGAGAATGTTTCATAATTTAAACACAATTTTTAAAAGTATTTTCTGAAATTAATTTTTATTATGTTAAAACCAACATTTCATGTACAGTAATTCGTTATTTGCACATTAGTGAGCCGTCCGCTCCCTGCACTTGGAGAACCTAGTTTTTAATAATGAACACACTTGGTATTTTCACCATTCTTATTGTGCAAAGCCATCTACTCTTTTCGAATGACTTCACAAGTTCTTTGTAATATTCACTGTTGAACACAGGATGCATATTTAATGGTTAATACACCTGCAGTAAGAACTAGGGTGGTCTGAAACAAGTGCTGACCATGCTGCTGCTGGGCCATATCACAAATAAACACAGGTGGTTGAAACCCAGATTCTAACCCAAGGTCTGAGTGTTGCCGACTCGGTATTCTGACCATGACGTGTTTTCAGCCACCAGATGTGGCTTAAAAAATATTGTAGTCATTAAGCTACGTGACCATCGGGAGAACATGAAAAATCCAAATATATAGGCATCAAACGCACGACCTCCTGCTGCATACCAGGCGAAGGAGAACATCTCGCGAGTTCGTTGCAGCCCACCATTGGGTCCCTCAAGTTGAGCCATGTTATTTACGCACAGTCGCTTGTTCTCCGGCCTTGTAAGTGATGCGAATGATCTAGGCTGGCAGGGCGCTATTGTATTCGCAGGAAGCCGGGAAAACAATTATATACATTAGCACATCTCCAAGCAAAGTCCCTTGGGTACAGACTGTTAAGACTAGGTCCTTCGTTGGTTCTTTGTTACAGACTGGGGAAATTAGGAGGGATTTGGATGCTGTGAGAGAACGCATTTACAGGTTCATTGACTGCTGCTATGTTATTATTGTCACATGACTTACTACGCAATGCACCCCATAAAGCTTTGTAAAATTACAAGCATATTTGGAGATGTATTGCCTCTTGCAAAAAGCACTCTGGTGACCCAAGATGCTGTGAGTGCATTATTGGAATTGTAAGCGTCTCTGGCACAATATCGATGAAGTGGTATCGGTCAGTCATAAAAATGAAACGGTGACCTGGTTGGGGATGTGGCCACGTTTAAAATGGCCATGATGACAAATCCTACCACGCTGCTTCCTGTAACGTTCATTTGTCTGCCTGTTTTCGATTTTATTTAATAGTGACTGACGCCACATGCACGGGTCTGCTGTTTAAGTGACCAGATGCGGTAGCGGTGA